AATAAATAAATAAATAAATAAATAAATAAATAAATAAATAAATAAATATCTGTCCCTCCCTTTGCTCCCACTTTTCGGTCCAGAGCCAAGTCATATTGTTTCCCTCTTTTTAAGTCTGTCAAAACGCAGCCCTTCCCACGCCACTGGCATCTGGGCAGCTTCCTTGGACTGAGTCCTTCTGGCCCTGGCTGGTCCTTCTAGTCCCATTTTTAGTTAATTTTATTTATGTTGAGAGCAACACTGACTGGAAGCAGCAGCTCACTGGAGTTTCAGGCAGGAGTTTTTTCAGCCTTACTGGAGATGCTGGGAATTGAGCCACAGACCCTGCATTCTCTCTTGCAACAGCTCTTGGGGCCTCTTTCCAATGTTGGGCAGAGCCAAAAGAGAAAGAGGTGGGGCAAAAATATGATGATCGTTTATCTCATCCTGCCAGTAACTCAGCCTCAGAACAGGGAGTTCAATGTTTAGAATGAGGAAAACTGGGGAAGAGGTGGGAAGCCACCAAACAGCTGGGGGAAAGGGAGTGAGGCATGGACAACTCAGAAATCCTGAAGGATGAGGACTGGGACCCAGGCAAGCTGGCTTTGGCCTGCAGGCTTGAAGTGCCACACCCCGGCATAACCTGCTTCGTAGCCAGCATGGTTTTCAAGATCCACAAAGCCACTGTCAGCTCAGCAGGGCTTCAGATGGGTTTTTCCTGAGTAGCACCCCCAAACTCCAGTTCTGAATCATGAATAATTTTGACACAGCTGAGGGGCTCAAAAGCAGTTCTGCGACTTGGCACTGCAGTGAACTACTCAAAGGAGAAAAGTCACAGATTCCCCCTGGCTGGCACACATCTCTGGTATGAACTCAAGCAGTGCTTTGGAAGCCACCCGTAACACTTTTCCCTGCAAGCCTGCTCCCCCATTTCACCTTAAAAGAGTGGCTGCTTCTTCACCAGTTACATCTTCTGCTGCTTTGCTGTTTATTGCAAGAATGTGATCCCCCGGCAGAAGCTTCCCGTCAGCAGTGCTGCCTGCAAAATATCATTCTCTTTTCAATTGACAAAATCACCCTTTAATCAGAAGAATGAAGCCATGAGGTACTAACTGGCTCGGGGTGGGGCACATGGGAATCAGAGTCTAGTATACCTGAAAGGCATCAGGCTGGGGAAGGCTGGCTTATTTGGTTAGTGTTCCACAGAAATTAAATTTCTAATTTAATTAGAAATGTATTACATTTGTAACTAAATTATAGCTATTATTTCTAAGTTGGAGCAAGACTTATTAATTAGCACAGCAATTTATGCAAATGGTTGTCCTCTTTCGTCCTCTTCTTTGGCTATGCATAAGAGGCCATTTTAAGGCTCAAGGACACATTCTGGGCTCGGGCTTCTCCACCAAATTTGGAGCCAAGTCTGCTCTGGCTGACCCTACCCTAGTATAATCACACTGTGGCACTGAGGAGATAACAAATGTACCCAAGTGAGTTGTCCTCAAGCTGATGTGTTAAAGACCCACGGACAACTTTTTGTATTAAAAAAAAGCTTCAGCTGTGGGGTGGTACAGAAATGAAATTAACAACAACAGCAGCAACAACTTTCTTCTTCTGTTGTTATCGTTGCATGTCCTTGCCTATACACTATAACTCTTCCATCACATTGGGGGAGAGAGGAAATGGAGTCCTACCTGCAGCAACAGATGTGACAAGAAGGGGAAGCTGCTGGGAAACCTCAAAGCCATAATGCCCAAGCAGCTCATCCTTTTGGACATCGACCGTGAGTTTTACATGGCTTGCAGGTTGGCTAATTCCGTCTGAGGGTCCGTCACTCACAGATGCTCTCCCCCTGCAAATGTAGAAAAGGAATGCCAAAAAGAGTTCTTCAAGGCTTCCTAATTTCCTGAAATCTCCTCATCTGCTCCTGTTGTATCCTTACATACATAAAATGAAAACAAACAAAAAGTAGACTGTTGACACTTTAAGGGCTATGAAATTTGCTTCCATGAAAACATGCTGCAAGTGGAAAGCCTAGGTCCGAGCAATATTTGAAGTATGATTGAGTATATCAACCAGGCACACCCATACCTGAGAGACTTGGCATCAATGCAAGTGAAATCAAACCTTAAAACTTAAAATCAGCATTTCTCCCACTGTGCTCTTAGCCTTAGGTCAAGAGGTACAATACCAGGTCAACAGCATCTTGCATTGTGGGCCATGGAAGGCACAACCCCCTGGCCCCTATATGCTGCCAGAAGGGGAGAAAAAAAGATTTCTACTTGGTAGCAGCAGAAACAGCCACAAGACAGAAAGGGGGAAAAGGTCCAGGAGCACACTATTTTACTGCTTCCCCTTCCATTTATGAAACATGGCACTGCTGGTTTGTGACTGCAAGAAATGGTCAGTTGCAAATGCAGAATTTCTTTATGTATTTAGTTATTCTATTTATACCTTGCCTTTTTCCTGCAAAGAACTCAAGGCAGCTTACAAGATTTGCTTCTCGTCCATCTTATAAAAACCCTATGAGGTAAGCCAGGCTGAGAGCAATAGTCCAAAGTCACTCAGTGGGATTCATGGACAAAGGGGGACTAGAACCCAAATCTCCTGAGTCCCAGCCCAGCACTCTCACCACTGATATAATGGCAACCCAACTTTCCGGTGCATGCCCAACATGGGTTAAACTGAGCCATAGACCAGATGGCAGCAGGTGGTGTGTAGGGCAGCTGCCATGGGCAGAGGCAAGTCTTGTCTGGTATCTCACATCCAGCAGGGCTTCGATTTAGGGGGGTACATGGGTAGGTGGTGTGAGGGGAAGAGACCAAGAGCTGCATAATATATGAGAGAAGAAAAAAGAAACGAGAGAGCAAGACTGGCGTGGGCTGCTCGTGTTAGGCAGGAAAAGCCAGGAGCAGGAAAAGAAGGGAGGTGTGGCCACACTGGTCTGACCATGTGCTGCTCGCCCCAAGTTGCAGGTGGCTCAGGGAACCACCACATTCAGTGGCATGGCCAGGGTTGAAGGATGCCCAAGCAGAATGTCTTGAAGCATCCTCTCTGCATCCTCCCAAGTGGTTTCAATCTCCCCATATTTCTCTGCATCTCCTAGTTGGCTGTGTCCCTCCCTGCCCTGCCCCCTTACAAGGCAGGGGCACCTGCCTCCTGCCTGCCTGCCTACCTTCCATTTATTGCAGAAGAGTGTGGGTGCACTGTACAGAGAAGCTGCAGTTGAGTTGCACCGAGCATCTTCATTTCTGCAGAATACCTTTCGGCCCATGTGGGACCACCAAAAGGTTGTCGGGAGAAATGAAGATCCTGGCCATGACTGCGACTTCCTTCCTCCTACTCCCACCTCTGATTTCTTTTCTTTTCTCTCTCTTTTCTAGAGAAATGTGTGGTTATTGCATCTGGGAATCCTGTGGGGAGTCCTGGATCTGCCCCTGATGGTCTGGCCTTACTGATACTACTGGAATCAGGGGACAGGAGACAGGGGAATACACAGAGCAGGAAGATCAGCATAAGAAAACTTCGGGAAAAGCATAATGCCTGGGAAGGAATGAACTAGAGATAGACAAGAAGTAAAAATGTGCAGGTTTGGGATAGGAGAATGATTTGGGAAGGCTCTGCCAGGTGCTGTCAACACAGAATTCACTTTTGCGCAAAGCAACAGTCCCCAGTATAGAAGCAACTCCTGCAATGCCCTCTTTCCAGGATTTCTGACTGGGGACCACCAACTGGCATCATAGAACAAAGGGTATCCAGCAGAAAAGTATCTGGCCATCACAATGCTGCCAGAATGATGTGCATGCAATGTCAGTTGGTTCACAGGCATACCAGTCATCATGCCTCTTGCCCTCCCCCTCCCTTAGGCTAAAATGTTTGAGTTGCTTTATACCTCAGCCTCATTGCAAGCAACCCAGCTTGCTAACTACTTCAGATTTCGTTACTGTAGTACACAGGGCTTTTTTTGTCATAGAATGCACCGGAACAGCATTCCGGCACCCTTTTTTGACAGATTTTTCCAACGGATTTTTCCAAGTGATTTTGAATTGCCCTGTCGGGCATAGCAGGTCGGCGGCAAAAGTCATTAAAATAGTACATGCAGGCTGCTTGTGTGTCCGTGCTGATTGTGAGGGTGCTGCTCGGCTTGGGATGCTGCTTGGCTTGGGATTGGTCGTGTGGTCTGGCGCTGAGTGCTTACTGCCGGCGGCGACCATTATGTTTATGTGTGTGTAGAGTGACTGGCTACGTGCAAAAGGTAAATAATTTCTTTATTTTAAAAAAAGTTGGTGAATTGAAAATCTTTTTTTAATTTTTAGCGTAAAAGTGTGACCCCAAATTTAAAAATGAAAAAAAAAAAACTAATTACTTCTCAACCACCAGTCCTGCTAATAAAAGATTACCCTAAAAAAACCCTAAATAAAAGATTAACAAGATGTGAGTTCACAAAAAAAGCACTGGTAGTACATAAGAACCTAGGAACCGGCCTTCTACTGAGCCAGATCACTGGGCCATCTAGGCCAGTACTGGCAACACTGACTGGCAGTCACGGCTCTCCAGGGTTTCAGGCAGGATCTTTTTTCAGCCTTACTGGAGAAGCCAGAGCTGGAACCTGGGACCTTGATGCAATGTTGGAACTCTATCGCTGAGCTACAGACTCTTCCCTCAACACTGCAAATAAATGCATATCTGTGGGGTGCACTAAACTTTTGACCTGGGCTCAGAAGAAATACAAGAAACCAATGCAGAAAAGCCCAAATTGTTCTTAGATTTGCCCTGCACTTCACTTCTCAAAGAAGATGATAGCAACCTTCTGTTGCAGCTGCAGTCTCTAGACTAGGGCTAGGCAACTTGTGGCCATCCAGATGTTTTGGCCTACTATACCCATGAGCCCTACCCAACACAGTCAGTGGAGAGGGATCATGGAAGTTGGAGGCAAAAAGATTTAGAGGGACACAAATTGTCTCTGGCTTACACCAGACTGTCTCCAAAGGTATGTCAGAGCGCAAAGCATAGAACACATTGCAGTACTCTAAAGCAGGGATGCAAAGCCACTTTTGGCCCAGGGAAAATTTCATTTCAGAGAAGCTCTGGGGGGTCACATGCCAGTGGACAGCAAGTATAAAGTCACAAATTAGCAGCCCGAGGAGATGCATTTCAACCTATCAGAAGAGGAAAGGTGGGAAACCCACAAAAAATCAATGGTTGGGGGAAAGAAGTAGCATTTTGTGAACAAGAAGAAGGTTGGACTGGGATCACACAAGAGTTGGATTAGGTCCCAGGGCCTAAGCAAGGCAGTCAGGTCTATCTCAGAGGGGAAGGATCACTGTAGCAATACCTGTTAAGAACTAGTAGTAAGTTCTCCTTGCTTCACAAAAGCCACCTGAGGTTCAGTTGATCATGCAAAGTCCATGAGAACCTACAGACCATGCTCTTGTGTAACTTGGATGCTCCACATTTAATAAAAGTGCTAAAAAAAATGGAAGGAAAACACAGACCTGGCTGAATTATCCCGTGACCGACGCAGCCATTTTGCTACCATCTGCTCTATCTTCCGTGCTTTGCGAGTCTCCAGATCTTCCATTTATCTGTGGAAGAAAGACATTGTTCCTATGATGTCCATCACAAAATCATGGCCCTCCAAATCATGAAACTGAATTAGATTTCCTCCAAGAAGGCTAATTTTTGGAGTCTTCAAAAAAGGAACTCCAAATACTTTTTATTACTGAATACTCTTGATAAACAAGAATTGCTTTTATAATTCTAAAAGCCCAAGGGTGGAAGACAAGTATTTCAGACATTTCTCTGCAAGCTTAAAAACAAGTTCATACAATTGTGTGTGTGTGTGTGTGTGTGTGTGTGTGTGTGTGTGGTTATAACTGATCTAGATCAATTATACGAGAATCAAAAGAAAGATGATGAAAAAGGTATGTACAAGGTAATTTGGGGAAAGGGTGGCTAGGCTAAAACCAGTGCTCTTCTATGGATAATCTCAGTATAGAAAGCCAGCATGATTAGATTGATGGAGGCCTGAATTCAGAAGATTGGATTTAAATTCTGACTCAGCCAGGAATCTTACTGGGTGATTCTAGGCCAGCCAGTATTTCAGAACACAACATACACCACTGGACTCCTTGGATGAAAGGACAGGATAAAAGCCAAACAAATATGATATATAAGGATGTGGTTATTCCCATCAACATCATCTGGTCTGTGAAGGGTCTAGTGGGGACTGTCCAACCTCTAATTATATCTACTTCCACATCCTGTCTGCTCTGATGGCAACTGCTTTTCAGTGTCTCAAGCAGAAATGGGCTTCTCTACATGAGGCTTTTGATCTGCTACTTTACTGTGGGTTCTGCTTCTGCAGTCTTTGTGGGATTAAAATCAGCTCCTTTACATGTGGTTCCCCCCCCCCTTTTTTTTCTTCTTCTTCTGACTTCATATATGTTCCATTACACAACTACAAGATTATTTTTATTTATTACATTTTGTACCGCCCACAGTCAAAGCTGTCTGGGTGGTTGGCAATATTTAAGTCACCCATCCACATTTCAGCAAGGCCCAACCCTACTTAGCCTCCAAGATTAGGCAGGAGCAGGAACTTCAGGCTATATGGAATCTATCTCTCTATGGTGCTGCTGGAGTAGAAGAAGACTTGCAAAAATGCACAAGCTTTTTATTCATTCCACTTTTTGTTTCAGACCTGCCCTGTTCAAAAAGCCACAGAAATGCTTGAAAAGCATAGGAGAGGCCCTCACGGATGACAATGTCATGTAAAGTACCCAGAAATTATTATGGGTGAGGAATCATGAGGACACAATACATGCTTTGCATAAATAAGCTCATTATTTGCTGCCTGATTTTTAAAATCTTTTTTAAGCTGAAGAGGCCAGGGCTGAATTAGGAACCATGCGCTGGCAAAGTATATGCTCTGTCCTGAGCTGCTGGCCCTTCTCTAAAGACGTCTTCCTTTCAGAAGGATATTGTTCTCCCTAATATACTAAATTCTATCAGGTGCTACATACACCAGTGGGGAACATGGGCTACAGGGTACTGTTGTATTCATGTCCTGTTTGCAGGCTTCCTGTGTGGGCCCATAAAAAGCAGCTAGGTCACTGAATGGAAAGAATGTGGGATTACATGGATACTTGGCCAGATCCAGTATGGTTCTTCTTATGATTTTAGCAATGGTTGCACTGGGAAGTCTCGGGGAGACCCTTGTTTTCTTTGTCTCAGCCCTTTAGACATAGAAACTTCATAAATACCCTAGACTGACAGAAAGACAAACCAGTGAGTCCTGGATCAAATCAAGGCAGAGCTTTCCCTAGAAGCTAAAATGACAAAACCAAGGCTGTCACATTTTGGGCACAATACGAGAAGGCAAAATTCCCTGGAGAAGGCAATCATCTAGGGAAAACTGAAAGTGAAGTCAAAAGGGAAGACAAAATATGAGATGGATTGACTCCATAAAGGAAGCCACAATACTGAATTTACAAAAGATGAGCAAGGCTGTCAGGGATAGGACATTGTGGAAGGAATTCACAGAGTCATCATAAATTGGAGATGACTTGATGTCATATAACAACAGCAAACCACACTGAACATTATGGTACTTGCTTCTGAGTAGAGATGTTTAAAATTGCATCTATCTTCCAACAGGCTTTTTCTATTTTTTGGTGAACACACATTGTCTTTTTCAGCAAGGACTCCGGCATCCACTAGTCAGAAGCAGATGTAAACTAGTAGGGAGTGGTACTGGACTCAATCTCCTACTCTGCCTCAGGAGCCTATATGCTGTATTTAGAAATACATACTGGCATTTGAGTTGCTTTAAATCAGGAACTCTAACACCAAACTCTCAAAGCAGCCACTAGAATTGTACGAGGCTCAAAGGTAATCAATTAATACTTCCATTTCAGATTAGGAATACTGAGGCTAATGAATATATGATTAGCACAAGGCCAAGATTTATCATTTTACATTTGAGTTGCCATTGTTCAGCTATGGGGAGGCAGAAGCTCTTGATGATTTACTGAAAATAACTAGGACATCATATAACTAGGTAGATCTTGATTGATGTTCTGCCCACCCCTGCCTTGGTGACCTAAAGGTTTCTGAGCTTTCAAAGCTTTCAAAAAGCTTTCATACGTTCAAAGCTTTTAAAAAGAGTTATACACATGCTAAATACAGTAAGCATTGATGGAAGTCTTGGGAAGACTATGTATTGTTCAAATTTTTATTTCATGCAAAAGACAGCAGAGGTCTCTCTGCTTTTCTGGACTACTGCTCTCTCATATTCACATTAATCTGTTTTACTATCTTAATAAATTGTTATTACATTACTGGGGGAATGGGGATGGTAGTAAAACACTGAAACCTTCAAGCAGTAACAGAAGACATGCATGCATCTTTTGGCTACAGAACTGGCGCCATTCAGATTTTAGTCACCACAAACATGGGCAGAGGATTGATTTGTACATCAGGTTGTTCAAACTGCAAGTTTTCAGCAGCATGTTGCCAACATCCACACAAACAGAACACTCAAAAGTCAGTTCCATCATACCAGTTTTGGATATTAACCTGTTGAGCACTGCTGAGTCCTACTGGTCAGGTTAAACTGACGAGCACAGCGACCCCCAAATGCTATTTTAAGGATGCCATTAGAAAGATTACTGATCTGTGGAGGGGGCTGTATGTATATAATGACTGAAATGGTTAGAGACAGGCAATGTGGATTATGTGTTTTATTGAACCCCTGAATACATTGCTGGAAATGGTAAACTGGGGAGGGAGAAAGCCAGTGTCCTAGGTAATTGCTTCTTCAGGCTTGTGCCCATTCTGACAATGTCCTTGAACTAGGACTGTTGGCCCAGGAAGTCTCCAAACTTCTGAATCTCTCCAGGCACCAAACCTGGGAGTGGCAGCTCAGATCTTTCTGGTGACGCATATGATTCAGCCCATACACCACTTAGGGTTGTTCATGTTCTTACAAGGTGGGGTGACAGGCTACTACAGAAGGCAAAAGTGTCAGGCCCCTGCCAGAAGAACTGGGGGACCAGGAACCCAAAGCAGCAGCAGCAGCAGCAGCAGCAATGTCCCAGATTTGCCAGTAGGCCAGGAGAAGTCTGGCCCTTTAGGAGTACTCGAAGGACAAGAACTCTGTCTCAGAGACAGTGGTGTCTCCAAGCCCTCAAGGAGAGACTGCCAAAAAAGACACAAACTCAGAGTGCTAGGCTGTGCCTGAGGCCTTCTTGTGAAGATAGGTCTATTTGCACATAAGAGGCTTGTGCACAAGGAGGGCCTTTTGAGCTGCAGTCACTAAAAGCTCACCCCTGAGGCTTGAGTGTGGCCTAAAAACAGTAAAGTGGAAAGAGTTGCTGGAAGTCATTTTGACCAGACTTGCCTGACTGTAGCTTCACTTGGCTTGACTCCAGATTGCTTGGTTGACTTAATCTTAGCATGAATACCTCTGGATTGAACTCGATGTCTTCTTCTCTCTGCTGTTGTTTGCTATGTTGCCTTGGAAACCGGTATCCTGTGCCCTGGCCTGTTGAAGCCTTGACTTCTGCTTGGTCTCTGTTTGTACTGACCACCTTGGCATTCTTGCACCCTTGAACAAGCAATTGCTAGGCCCAGTTCCTGAAAAATGACAAAAGGCAATCTGAGGCCTCAGCAGATGCAAGGCCATTGTCCCTACTAAATCCCTTGCAGCTTTGCTCATGGCTCCCACAATCAGCAGGCCCTGCTTTCATATTGAAGCCCTTTTGGCTGTTCCATCGACCTCTTTGGGAGCTCCCTGAGGGCTTGCAAAACTTGAACCTGCTAGTTTGGGAACAGTAATGCAGAACCCGTTATCTTTTTTCCATTGCTGGATAACTTCTGCACAAGATCAGTGTTTTCTAGACCTTACTTAGGTCTTAATGAATTCAGAGGCTGGCTGGAACAAGGCAGGTTTGGGAGTAGAAAGGGGAACAGGTTTGCTCAAAGAATTACTGTGGGATTTTAATGGCTTTTCAGGCCTTCACAGAACAGTTTTATGAATGCATAAGCTATATTGCACTATGATATGTAGAAGGCCAAAACCCAAAGGGAAATGTTTCATGAAGAAAGCAGTGGTAATTATGGCTCATAGTGGTTGTTCTTTTTCTGCATAAATATTGTATACCTTTAGTCTCCTCAAAGAAGGGACAGAGCTGCTTTTTGCTAGGATGCCTTACAAGAGAGAACAAATTCTTCAATGTATGTTAAGTACATCTCTTTCTCAGCACATCCAGTACACAACATAATGGAAATAAAGCCAGTAGTTACTTCAAAAAACTTTCTCACCAGAGAAAGTGACTAAATGCAGAATAGTTAAAATACTAGTGATACCCCTGCTAGCTAGTAGTTGCTGCAGGCCATGTCATTGAGGCAACAGAGGAAATAACAGATTTAAGTCAATCCAGCAGGAAATTCTTTTCCAAATGTCCAATGAAATAAATAGGCAGTTCCCAAGGTATGGCCCTTGGCAAGTTACACTCATCAGCTAAGGGTTGTTCCTTGCCCAGGACTATGTCCAAAGGATAACACAATGTGCCCATTTCCATAGTGCCTCTAAGCCAGCCTTCCCTAATCTGGTGCCTTCCAAAAGTGTCAAAAGTTGGTGGAGGTTGTAGTCTGGAGGGTTCCTGCTTGGGAAAGGCAGCTCTAAGCCATACAGACTTCTCTGATCACTGAGATTATCTAACGAGATTACTTTGCTTCCCTTTACCATTTGGACAAAGAATGGTGACCATGAAGGAAGGCACTCTTTCTGTAATGGTAACCAGACTCAAGTTTGTTCTCCTTCCTGAGGCAACCCTGATAGCTTAGCTTCAGATATTGGACATGCAGGTGAATTCTTCTAGTCTGTGTCTAATGACAATTTGGTTTACTTGGTATTTATTGCTTAGGCTGACTGCTCTGGTGGATTGATTGGACTTATAGAGCTTGTGTTAATCAAACTTTGGATTGATTGGACTTACGGAGCTTGTGTTAATCAATGGTCTTTTTGTTGTTGTTGTTAGAATGTTATGTTTTATTAAGCCAGTCAACTTTGTTTACAACCACAGTTTGTTTTAAAAAAAAAATCAAGGCTGCATTTTGAAGACCAAGAAGGACATTCTGGATAAAGATACAAATCAAATGACTATAACCATTAATATTACCATGGTTACAGAAACCAAGGTAACTGTTATCGAGAACAGGAAGTTCATTACACATCTCCACAACAGTTTATATTGAATGATCTCTAGGACACAGGATAACGGCTAAATTAACATCTGTATTTATAATTTTTCCATGCCTGCTGTAAATCAAGTGGCCTTGTAGGCAGCAAACTTGTCCCAGTCAGACAGTTTAATGTTCTGGGTTTTTTGCGAAGACACTGTGAGCTATATCTAGTTGATATATTCCCATGTGACAAAATATGTACTACTGTGTACATCCAAATCCCTCTGCTTGTTAAAGCTATGTATAGAGAGGTGAACCTGTACATATCCATCAGCCAGGACTCCAAAATCATATGCCCTACTTGACATCTTGTAGAAGGTTATGGCATTGAGATAATTCAGTTTAAATTGTTATAGAGATTTCCAGTGATATTCCTGTCCCAGAAAACAATTCCCTGGGCTTTGGAAAGCCAAGTAAAATTATTAATTAGACTTGTAGAGGCTCTCTTTCATTGGAGCCATCTTCTGTGATGAACTCTGGCTGTAAACAAATACATTTGATTGAGGGTGCACTCCTAGACCTGTTTAGACAGGGACTTCTAACATGTTCCTGCCTAAACTGGCATAGGACAGTGCCCAAAGACAAGAGATATTAAAATTTCCAGTCCATGAAGGATCTGCATCCAGACCATATAGGGTTCTTAGCTTCCTAAGTAGCCAAATCCCATCCCTGGAGGAATCCCTGCTGTTATTATCAATCTAGGATAGAAGATAGTTGTGGGGGACTGCTCAAAGTGGCTGCTCTTACCCACACTGGCTGGGACCCTTTCTCCATCTTGATATAGTTATGTGCCTCTTTCAGGTTAGGGAATGCCAAAATGGACAGGGTAGAAGCAGGGTAGAGGAAGTCTGTGGATGTAATCTCACCCACTGGTCGCCATTAAAATGTGCCTTGCTCTTCTAATTTCAAAGCTATGGCTGAGCTGAGGTTACTTATGGCATGTTTTGGTGGTGAGGACAGAAAAGCTCCTCCTATTTTCAGTTGGATTATAATAAACACATTTAGGGTTGGTTCCAGGGTCTGCCTTTCATGAGAAGAAGGATCCAGTCTGCAAAAGGTTTTACAAGTTTATCCATTTCATCCTCACAACAGCAACAACCCTGTGAGATAGGCTGAGGGTCAGTGACTGGCCCAAAGACACCCAGTGAGCTTCATGGCCAAGCGTTAACTGAAACCTAAATCTCTCCTATCCTGGTTCATTTGAAGGTCTGTAGCCCCCCCCCCCCCCACACACACACACACACTCACTCTCTTTCAACTCAAGACTGAACAGGTATGCAGAAGGACTTCACCAACAAATCAGATTTTTAAAATAATTCTCCTTTTTTATTTGCCTTTCCGCCCTCGATCTGCCTGATTAAGAGGCCTGGAGAGATCAAAGCTTGCACATTTGTGTGATCTTTTTGCTGGCTTAATAAAGGCATTACATGAACATACATTTTGGCATTTTTCTTATGCCTACACAAATACCTTTCTGTGTGTTTCCCATATAGATAGTCTCTCATACATAACATGGTGTTCCTGCATTGACTGTAAACAATCTTTGTCAATTGCCTTACTTCTTTTCAGATGTCTCTTTAGGGTGAAGTCAGGCTACCAAGTGCAGTCTTAGGCAAAACAAAGGGCTGAATTAAATGCATGCTCATGCAGAGGAAGTGAGTTCAGCATTTCTGTGAATATTGATCAGCCTGTCATTATCTTTTCAAAGCTTTTGTGGTTAAAAGTAGGATGACTTCTGGTTGGTTGCTTGTTTACTTTTCTCCCATAAAAGAGAGCTACTTCTGGTCAGGTCTTGTGTCTGGCTTAAGTATAGCTCTAGTTAACCTCATTCTCTAACAGAAAACTTCTGACCCCATGCCAACCAGGAAGGGGAGTAAATCATAGACAGGATTGGGTCTGTCTGTCTGCTTATGAGGTGCCTAAGGGCAAGGACAAAGAACCTATTCCCAACAAAGGATGTGCATCAGCAAAGCCCTTCCAGGACATCTGAAAGAGTTAAAAGCTTGACAGTTACACAAGTAGGGGTAGGTGGGAAGAGGACATGCCCACTGCCCCTTCAGCAAGGAAGAAGCCCTCTCAAACTCTACCACCCAGGGTGTTGCGTAGGCTGGAGGTGGGGGCTGGCCAGGAGGGCAGCTGCGAAAGAGGGCAAGGGTCCTTACCCTTTACAGTAGTGCAGAAGATGAGTATGTATGAAAAGACATACCTGCCAAACCTTCCTCTTCTACCCAACTTTTAAAGGCAGTAGAAGAAACCTGACCTCTTTCAATATCTGGCCAGCCAGCCTCCAAACCTCCCATCTCTCCTTTCCAATTCAAATTCAGGAGGAGAGGTAAATCCTCAGCATTCATTTGGGCACCATCTCATGCTTCAGAAGAAGCTGAGCCTCCCACGAAAGAGTCCTCCTAAGCCCTGACTTGTCTGAATTGTAATATTTTTCTCTCTGGTTCAGGCTTAACTGGTTTCCCTTCCTAATCTGCCTGAAACATAATTAGACATTGGATTGTGATGCATAAATTAAGAGTTACAAAAAGTTTGAGGTTTGCCACAAACCACACCATTGTTTCCTGTGTTGGAGCTGGTAAAGGCTTTCCTTAACTCTTCTTAAGAGCTGAGTTTACAATGAAATAGTGGAATGTGGATGTAGGGAGAAACCACACTATAGCTTTCTAAGCTAAACTTTGCCTGTGAACACCAACAGGGTCTACTTGTCCATTAAACAGCAGAAACACAGAGGCAAGAAAACAGCATGTTGCAGATGGAACACTTAATGAGAGTTTGCAAACCAGCCTCAAAAAAAAAAAAAAAAGTAGTTTGTGGCAAATTCTGAACTTTCTTTATGCTTAATTTAGTAATAGTAGTGGTATTCTGCTCTCATACCACTGGGATTATAATTATTGGTAATGAAGGGATGGGGAAGAAATTTGTTTGGTTTGCAATCCAATACGAATTTATGTTATCCAATTCAATCCAAATTTATGTTATTAGTTATTTTGAACTAATAGATGAATAGGAACTCAATCATCCTTTAAGAGTTGCACTTGTTTGGATTTTGCTATGGAATTCTATTAAAAATGTGTGCATTAGGCAACATTTCATACAAAAAACACATATTGGGAGAAAGGCACAGAAAAATGCATCATGTGGGCGTAAAAGAAATTCTCAACATTTGCAATGCATTGAATTTAGGGTCAAATAAAGAGAAATGGTAAGAACTGGAAACTGACAGATCCTTTGCAGCTAAATGCTTTGATGCTTGATCATATCTCACAGCAGTTAACACTGCTGGTGAAATGATTGTGCCCAGGAGCAATGAGTCCTCTGTTATTGATAAACATTAAGCACACTCAGTAAGATTTCAATAAAATGCTAAGAAGCCTCTAAGGCTAGGTTTGTGTGCAGAAAGAACAAGGTCACAATTAAAAGCTGAAGAGAGACAGAAAGGAATGAATACACAGACATGAATTCATTGAACCTAATAGCCTTGCCAAGACTTACTTGTGTGCACGTGCCTGCTTAATGTTGGCTCTAACTCAGCCAAGCCTCTCACAGGTTTTGCATTTTATAGGCTGCCAGTCCTGCTTCCAGCCCTGGATGTTACTTGTTGCTTAATGATCAAGACATCAGTTCATTTGCCTTCCAACCTGTGGAGGAAATGGAGCACCATATGAAGATTCAGGCAAGATTTTAAGTAGCACCTGCTTCAAGGATCTCCTCCTCTACAGATGATTCTGTGGGGCACCAGAATCATCCCTTTCATGGTTTCTTTTTTTATAAGAACCATTTGGGTTAAAATACAAGGCACAAGCAACAGAACACAACAATTCAGTTCCTTCAATCTAGTCAGGTTCTTATATATTTAGTCAGACTCTTACGTGTGTGGTTGTTTGGAGGGAGAGGGAAATATTAGCCACCTGTTACTAAAATGTGGGTCCTTCTTTAATAGATACTTTAATAGATACTTTAATAGATAATAGTATCTTTAATAGATACTATTAAAGTATCTTTAATAGATACTTTAATAGATACCAATCTTTCACCTGAATGTTCCAGAAAATGACTGAAAAGAGGATAAATCATGTGAGATCTGAAATATAGAAGAAATTGAGCTATGTAAATATATATGAGTTTCAAGAACTCCTTCCTTACACATGCACCATTTCCTTTGAAATGGTATATTCAAAAAACTGCCCTGAAGGACATTGTGTTGGCACATTAAATGCTCTGTGCGCTTGCCTGTTCTTAAGAGAAATCAAATATGATGGTGAAACTGGACAGAATCCCATGAGCCCTAGAGAAACAAGTTCTATTAGCCAGAGAGTATAGATTTTGTCTTTCAATATCATATCCCCTTTGAATCTGAACACTGAATGACTGTCATAGTTCAAACATTAGAAGATAGTCAAATGAAATATGGAGGAAACTAATTTTATGTGAAAACCTATGGAACCATTTCTTAGAAGGTGAGTCAGCTAGCACAGGTCCTGGCATTCCTGGGAGGCAAAGTGAGAAGAAGTTTAAGAAATGGCTTGCCAGATGAGGCTTTGGGAACTCCAGCATCATGGAGTTGACAGCAGCAGCCCCTGGAGGGGCTCAAGCTGGCTATAGAAGGATGGCAGCTCTCTGTTTGCATCTCCAGCATTTGAAATTGAGATGCTTGTCACTTCTGTACATCAAGAATCCATGTAGCTACTGTGGCTAATGGTAATGGAATTTGCTTAGGCATTTTTGAAGCCGTTTTAGTAGCCAGCCACACAACTAGTGGTAGGCAGTGAATTCCATAACAGAAAGAATTACTGTATGAAGAAATGCTTCAATCTGTATGAGCAACATCATTGTTTGAGTCTGCCTCATTATATTATTTATTTAAAAATACTATCTATTATTTTTATAGAAAATCTAAGATGGTTTACAATTTTACAAACACAGAAACAATATTATGAGTGGGAGAAGAGTTTCCCTCATCCAATCCCATAAACCTCCATCCAGTCATTTTGTACTGATCTTGTTAACCTCCATCATGACCTTTCCAGTTTCCCTTTCCCCATAGGCTAAAAAACCTCAAATGCTTCATTTTTTCCTGGTGGTTGTATGGAAGGTGTTCCTACTCTTCGATCGTAAGTTATTAATACAGCAGGGCATCAACTCCTCAAAGGAAAATGCAATGCATTAGTCAGATCTCTGAAGAAATAACTGTGATCCCCAAAATGGAAGTTCAGTAACCTGGTATGTTCCCAGTAAAATATGTACCATCCAGCTTAAAAGCAGGTATATTGCCTGTTTGAAGCAGGGGCAGGGAACCATCTTGGCTTGTGAGTTAAATACAACCTGTGCCCTCATAGGCCACCCCAATGGCAATCAGACTTAGGTCCAGTTCATGTAAATAATATGGATAACTGCAGCAATGTCTGGCCTGGAAGTCCTCCTCACTAATCCTAAATAGATGTGGACAACATGTGACAGGAAAAAGGCACTGCACATACTAATGGTCTCCTTTTAGAGCTACTTAAATCCTGCAGCTGACCCCTAGCCATGCAACGAACCTCAGTTCCAAACTGTTTACACTATCCCAAGATATAAACTGAAATATAGAAAGTGATGGGGCCTGCTTCTGTATTTTCCTTAGAGTGGGATCAGTTTGATTATTTCTATCGCTTGCCTTAATTCAAGACCACCACCTGCTCTGAAAGCAAGCATCAGCTAATGCATCAGATAACAAAAGTCATGCTGGATCAGACCAAATGTCCATCTAGTTCAGAACTTTGTACACACGGTGGCAAACTAGATGCCCAACGGACCCCTCAGGATGGGTACAAGACCTCCTCCTGCCCAGCTCCTGGTGTTTGCAGGCATCCCACCTTTGGTAAAGGAGATAGCACATAGCCAGCAAGACTAGTAACCATAGATAGCTTCCTTTCCCATGAATCTGTCCAATCCCCTATTAAAGCTATCCAAATTGGTGGCCAGCTATGCTTCCTGTGGCAGGAAATTCCACAGTTTAACTATACATTGTTCGAAGAAGTACTTCCCTTTATCTGTTCTAAAGCTCCCAACAATCAGCTTCATGAGACTATTCCCAGTTCAAATGTTATGGGAGAGAGAGAGAGAAATGGCTCCCTCTCCATTTTTTCCACACCATGTATTGTGTTAAACATCTCTGATGTCCCCTTTTACTCACCAGTTGGAGTTATGTTGACAATATTTCAGTCCTCTGATACAATGGCTGCTTATAGAGACATATGAAATATTTTGTAAGAAGGTCAGCAATTTCATGTTTAAGTTTGAGAACTCTCAGATGGATATGATCTGGAGTGGGTGATTCACTGACTTTCAGTTTGTCAAGAAGGTTCAGAATTATGTCTGTTGTCACTACTATCTGCCTTAATTCCTTTCCAAAATATGTAATTTCAGGAATAGGTATCTGGAATTAAGATTGCCGGGAGAAATATCAACAACCTCAGATATGCAGATGATACCACTCTAATGGCAGAAAGTGAAGAGGAACTAAAAAGCCTCTTGATGCGGGTGAAAGAGGAGAGCGCAAAAGTTGGCTTGAAACTCAACATTAAGAAAACTAAGATCATGGCATCTGGTCCTATCATGTTCTGGCAAATAGATCGGGAAGAAAGGGAGCTAGTGACAGATTTTATTTTCCTGGGCTCCAAGATCACCGCAGACGGGGACTGCAGCCAAGAAATTAAAAGATGCTTGTTCCTTGGGAGAAAAGCTATGGCAAATCTAGATAGCATACTAAAAAGCAGAGATATCACCCTGCTGACAAAAGTTTGTATAGTCAAGGCTATGGTTTTCCCAGTTGTAATGTATGGCTGTGAAAGCTGGACCATGAGGAAGGCTGTGCCGAAGAACTGAGGCCTTTGAATTGTGGTGCTGAAGAAGACTCCTGTGAGTCCCTTGGACTGCAAGGAGATCAAACCAGTCAGTCCTAGAGGAGATCAACCCTGACTGCTCTTTAGAAGGCCAGATCCTGAAGATGAAACTCAAATACTTTGGCCACCTAATGAGAAGGAAGGACTCACTGGAGAAGACCCTGATGCTGGGAACAATTGATGGCTAAAGAAGAAGGGGATGGCAGAGGATGACGTGGCTAGAAGGAGTCACTGAAGCAGTTGGTGTGAGCTTAGGTGGACTCCAGGGGATGGTGGAGGACAGGAGAGCCTGGAGGAATGTTGTCCATGGGGTCATGATGGGTCAGACACGACTTCAGGACAAACATAACGTAACTGTAATCTCTGTTGTGAAGACTGATGAAAAAATATCATTCAGCTTCTCTGCAGTCTCCTTGTTCACCCTCATGGCTCCTGCAATTCCATTACTGTCTGATTATTCAGATATATTTAAAGAATTCTTTATTGTTGGCCTTGATGTTAACAATGTCCTCCTCTTTCCTTGTTTCTCTGATTGTCTGCTTGCATCTCCCTTCTGCAAGTTTGTGGTCCCCTTCTAGCTTTTTCAACTGCCCAAGATTTCATTTTTTTTAAAGGAAGCTTTCTTCTCCTTAATAGATTCCTTGACTCTATGCGTTAAGCATGCAGGTGATTTCCTGGACTTTGTCCTACCTTTCTTCACTTGGGTATGCACATTACCTGTGCCTCTGTTATAGTGTTTGAGTAATTCCCAAGCAGACTGAAGTGATTTAAACTTCTTGATTCCCTTTCTCAGCTTCTTCTTTACCAGTTCCCTCATTTTTGAAAAGTTTCCTCTTTTGAAGTCAAATGCAACCAAATGTTTGACCTATTTAACAGTCTTGCACCCAATTCTACCTTAAATCTGATACCAGCATAGTCATTGTTTCCTAGCTGGCTCTACAACATTTACATCCGGTACTATGTCCAGTGCAACCCCACATAGGACTAAATTCAGGATTGCCTGCCCCTTCTTCTTTACGTCCTGTGTGGGGCACATCACACTACAAACATCTTCCATAGTGTTTGACCACGGCAACAGTTTCTTTACTCTTCCATTCAAGGTTGATACTTCTTAGGTCGTTTTGTAATGTTTGATGCCAGGTCTTTTTTGGGAGTCGCCTCCCTCGACTACCTAGTGATATCCAGTTAATTGCGATCTTAGCAGGGTGTTGTTTATTCAGGTGCACATGTCCAGCAAAATGCATTCTTCATTCTGTTATCAACTGAGAGAGTCTCTGGGTACCACATCTATGCAATACTTCCTCATTTGTAATATGGTCCCAATACATAATATCTTTCTAAGGCAATGTTGCTGAAAGACATTGATCTTCTGGGTAATTTATGTTGTAAACTTCCAGGGCTCACTGGCATAGGTGGCAATTGGTACAGCAATGGCATTAAATAATCTGCACTTACTTATAAGATCTATAGTGGGTGTACTCCAAACTGAGCACATTTGTTGGAAAACACCCATTGCTTTGCCTATCCAGCATTTGTGCTTCTGTTCACCCATCTGCATCCATAATACTGCCTGCCCCTAAATTGATAAATTTAGTCCTTGCTGACACAGAAATAAGAAAAATGGAATGGATTGACTGACATTTTATTGGCATAGACAGCTTGTTTCCTACAATGATGATTGGCTTCATCTGAAGAAAAAAGATGGATAGATTCGGCTGGTTCACTGGGCTTCAGTGGACACCCCATGGAGTGTACAA